AGTGTCTGGTGTGTGTGTGTGTGTGTGTGTGTGTGTGTTAGTTAGATAACACTCTGAAGGTTTTCAGCTCTGCGTTTAGGGTAGGAGTTGGAGGTGAATGGAGGACAAGAGGACAAGGGGACTGTGGATTGAGGGGATCATGTAAACAAAGCCCTGGACGTGAAAATGAGGCCTTCCCATGGGGAGGGTGATCAGAGAGGCAGAGAGCTGCTTTTGATGAGCTGGGAAAGCTGATGTTGGAGCGGGAGGATAGGGCCAGAAAGTGGAATTCAAATGAGGAGGGTGGGAGGGTGGAGAGAGATGCCCTTCCTGTCACCTCTTCATCATGTTCTTGCAGCTGGCTGAGAGTGACTTCGCTTCCACGTTTCGGCTGCTGACGGTGTTTGCTTACGGGACATATGCTGACTACTTAGGTAACCGGAGGGGCTGGAGCTCTGGACTGTTGGAGGTGGGAGAAGGGCAGTTTCTGGAGGGACTTAGAAGAAATTCTATGTAGATCCCTGAAGTACACAGGGTCAGGGTTAAGACCTGAACTGGCATGGAAAACTTGAAAAAAAAAAAGGACAAGAGACGGAGGCTAGAGCTTCCCACAATACAAAACCAGGATTTCCTACACTTTGTCTTTTTTCCTAGCTGAAGCCCGGAACCTTCCCCCACTCACAGAGGCTCAGAAGAATAAGCTTCGACACCTATCAGTTGTCACCCTGGCTGCCAAAGTCAAGGTGAGTGACAGCCCCCTAGTCCTGAGCCGAGGAGCATCCTTTTGTGTGTCCCTTCTCAAGGGCCCAGATAAAGGGAGTGGCCCTCAGAAAGCCTCTGACCACAGTGTTCCTTCTTCCTACCTCCTCTGATGTCCCTGCAAGGTCTGTGTCTGAACTCTGTTACCTGTGGCCTTTTAGACTGAATAGTATTCTCTTAGTTTTCTGTTTAGTTTCTGTTTTTCAATAACTTCGGTTCTAAGTAAAACTTCTTTTGTGTTTTGGGTCAGAATAGCAACTAGGGTGTCGCTCACTGTGCTGTTCCGCATCCCGCACCCCCACCCCCTGTAAAGTCCCGTGCAGACAGCAGAGCTGGAACAGTGCTCTCTCTTCTGGTGAAGTGTAAATACATAACCCTGAAGTATCTTTGTATGTCCCGTTGGCTTCCGTTTTTTAATAACTATCCCCCTCCACCTGTCAGCATCACCCACCTGTTACCTGACTCTCCTGTCTTTCTCACGATTTTACGTAAATCAGGCTCTCTACCGTGAGATGCCTCTTTGGAAGCAGACGGAATCTAAATGGTAAACAGAGTAACTCCAGGGAAAGCCCACACCCATCCTTCTGTTGTGTCAAGCTGATCTTGACCAAGTCCATGTGTGTCCCTGAGCTGTGGCCAGAGGATTGACACCCGGGCAGATGTCACTTTCTTCCCCTGTGGTGGGGAGGGTAAGCAGGGTAGGGGAGCATAAGTCTTTGATTTAAGATTGTCCTTTTCATGATGTTATTTCTCAAGTGGAAATGCTTTTATTTATTTTGCCCTAGAACCAGACTTTTAGAGATGATTTAGGAGTAGGAGTGGAGGGTGGGCAGGGGGAAAGGAGGGAAGGAGAATCTTGGAAGCCCTCCTCTGCTGCTGAACCTCACAAACCCCAGCCTGACCTCCGGGCCCCAGTGTATCCCATATGCAGTGCTGCTGGAGGCCCTGGCCCTGCGGAACGTGCGGCAGCTGGAAGACCTTGTCATCGAGGCCGTGTACGCTGACGTGCTTCGAGGCTCCCTGGACCAGCGCAACCAGCGGCTGGAGGTTGACTACAGCATCGGACGGGACATCCAACGCCAGGACCTCAGTGCCATCGCCCGAACCCTGCAGGAGTGGTGAGACCTGTGTTCCGGCGCTGTCCCTTCTCTGCTCACCCCAAGACAGGAGGGGTTCTCTGGAGGGGGTGCTGGGCTGGGCGGCAGAGATGGAACCCAAAAGGATGCAGGGGAATGAGTTCGTTCCTCCAGAGGCTTCTGAGGGAAGCAAGGAGTGGAGGTGGGCCTGGGGAACAGGAGGCGGGAGGCACGTTCTCCATATAGCAATGGGGGAGAGATGGGGGGGCTCCTGAGAGGATCCTCACTGGGAGGTGGGATCCTCACCTGTCTCAGCTGGATTTAACACACTGGTCTGACCAGCACTGTCCAAAGGCCGTGGCTTCTCCCACTTCTGTTTTCTCTCTGTGTTCCTGTCTGACGTTAGTTCCTGAATACACCTTCTTTTTTGCCTCTCCAGGCACCTCCTTTCTCCTCCCTTATCCCGTCTTGAGTGTCCTTCTGGCTCCTGGGAAGGTTGTTGCAGGCGGTTTCCAGGTGCCCTGGCGAGGCTTCTGACTCAGGGCTCTGGATGCCAGGATCTAGGAGTCTTTCTGAGTCTGTGATCGCAGCCCTCTGCTGACACGCCTCCCCGCCGATTTCCGCAGGTGTGTGGGCTGTGAGGTGGTGCTGTCAGGCATTGAAGAGCAGGTGAGCCGTGCCAACCAGCACAAGGAGCAGCAGCTGGGCCTGAAGCAGCAGATTGAGAGTGAGGTGAGGAGGCGGGGGAGGAAGACGGCCCAAAGCTCCTCCAGCCTAGGCTGGCTGCCCTGGGCAGAGGGGTTTGAACACTGGCTGTCACCAACAGACCCGGGAGCAGGGCCTGTCAGTTTCTGGAACCCTCCTTGTTTTCCCCACTGTTTTTATCCTGGTAGGTCGCCAACCTTAAAAAAACCATCAAAGTTACAACAGCAGCCGCTGCCGCAGCCACATCTCAGGACCCTGAGCAGCACCTGACTGAGCTGAGGGAGCCGGCTCCTGGCACCAACCAGCGCCAGCCCAGCAAGAAAGCCTCCAAGGGCAAGGGGTGAGCAAGTGCGGCAGGGACTGCTCGCTTCTGGGGTGCCTTGCTTTCACTCCAGAGGCCTGGCTGCCCTCATCCCTTCGGTCATTTATGTGGGGGTTCGGAAGAGGGGAGCTTGCAGGGCTTAAGGGAGTCCCTGAGCCTCTCTCTCTCTCTCCACCCCTTGCCAGGCTCCGAGGGAGCGCCAAGATTTGGTCCAAGTCGAACTGAAGGGACTGTCGTTTCTTCCCCGGGGATGTGGGGTCCCAGCTGCCCACCTGCCCCTTAGGAGTCCTCAGAGAGCCTTCCTGTGCCCCTGGCCAGCTGATAATCTAGGTTCATGACCCTTCACCTGCCTTCTTCTCTCCCCCACCCGCAAACATAGATCACACCTAGGGAGGAGGCGAGTATAAGTCATGTTTTTGTTGGTACTTTTTAATGTGACTTTCTTATGTGTCCCATCATCCCCTCCTCCTCCCTGCCTATTTCTTTAGGAGCCAGCATCTGTCTCTGTTTATTATATGGCATTAGTAGGTGGGTCTGCTCCATTGCCAGCATCACCTACACATGTTCCTTCTCCCACTGCCCCACCCTGCACGTCTAACCCCCAGCTCCTGCTCCCTGCCCCTAGCCTGTCTGGGCAGCATCTGAAGAACCAGAGGGCTCCCACCTTTATTCCCATCCTGAGAGTGCCGGAGCCAGCCTGCCATTCTGGGAGCCACTGGACACTTTCATCCTAGAATCCCGTCACCCAGCAGTTGCTTCCTCTCCTCTCTCTTCCCCTTGGGTCCGGGAGCGCTGCTGCTTCAGTGACCCCAGAGCCTAAGGGCAGCTGTTTCTTGAGCTGTTGTGAGATGGTTCTTTCTTGACTCTGGCTGTTTGAAAGCCTGATGGCAACCTTGCAAGGATTTATACTTTTGTGAGTTTGGGAAGGGAAGGGGATAGAGATTGTATAAAAAGAATATATATACATATAGCTATATATGATATGACGCAGAAATAAATCTATGAGAAGTCTATCTACAAGCATGCCCTGAACTGGGTATCTTCTGTCCTTGGTATTCGTGGATGGGAAGAAGGCTCATTCCCAGTCCACTCTAAAGCAAAGTGCTGGGAAAAGGAGAGAACTGGATGCAGCGTGCTGATTCCCGGCCTAGGAGCCAGGAGCCCTTGGCCCTGGGCTGTATGACTCTGGACACACTGCTGAGTATCTCGGCATTCATTCAGAAGCAATGGATACTTACCAAGCACCGACCCATGGTAGGCACTGGAGCTGCAAATGATGGTCAGTGTCCCTGCTCTCAGCCTGTTTCCTTCCACCTTATAGAATTATAGGGGGAATAGTTGATTGTAAACTGCAATTTTTGCATCAAAACCACATAGGACTCTCAAAGAGGCAGCAGTCGGGCTCCTGTCCTCTGTCCAAGGCAGAGCATTACAAACAGCATGCTGGGAGGGTTGGTCTCCTTGGCCCAGTGCACTGCTGTGCGCATCCTAGAAGTGGAAGGTCTAGTGTAAGGGGCAGTTGGCCCCCCACTTGCAGGGGAAGGGATTGCCTCCTGAGGGTCCCAGTGTTGACTGAGCTGCTCTCCAGAGCTTGTGCTGACCTCTAGTGGAGGTGGAGGGTTGACCATTCTTCGTTGGTCTTAAAAGTGTCAGTCATAGAACTGGAAAGTGGGAGTGGACCCTGAGTTTTTGGTTAAATTGGGCCTGTTGTCTTGAGGAGCAGTGGATACTTAATGAGACCAGTCCAGTGAGCCCTGTCTCAGGAGCTGACACTCTTGGCCTCTCATTTTACCTTTGGCCTAGACAAGCTTGTTGAGCCTATTGCATCTTGATTCTCAGTCTCTGCCTCTGAAATAAACCCCTTCTTCCTTCCACACCATCTAGTGTGTAGAAATCGCTAATTCCTGATGCTTTGACCCTGTCCCTACCCTCCCCCAAACCTGCCCATTCCCCCAGATTTCCTCGTGAACTTCAGTGTCTCATTTTCCTGTAAGCTGGTCCCAGATAATGACTCCGTAACTCCCCTGGCTCCTCTAGTTCCAGCTCTCAGTGGGTGGCTCTAAAGTCTGTTGCGGGCTGGGCTGGGACTGCCTGGCCCAACATGCAAGCAGGGAGGAGGGGCCCTTCACAGCCCTAAGGACATGCAAATGCAATTTGTCCTTGATTTACAAAGAAAGGGCTCTTGACCACCAAGGCATGGAGGTGGGGGAGGAGATTATTTGTGGGCTGTTTTTGACCATGCTGTGCGGTTCAGGATTTAGGGATTCGGTGTATAACCAAGCCTAGGGCACTAGGGAAATTCTCCCAACCAACCAAAAACCTTATCGCCACTTGCACATTCTCACACACTGGTCCCTTCTGTACAGCAGTCTTAAGAGATCTTAGGGCTGGACCACTCTGGGAAGAAGTGGAGGAAGAAAACTTGCCTTTGTGAGAATTCACATCTCATGCACGTGACACAGACGACACTTGGAAGGTTAAACCAAAGTCTCTGGAGCCAGAACAGCAGTTGGCTGAGGCGCGTCTACGCACAAGAAGAGTGGAGACAGTGTCTGCAGTCAGCGTTTCTTCAAGATCACTGGCACCTCAGAGTTCGGCATCCGAGGGAAGTACCGCCAGGAACTAATGTGGAGTAAAGACATTCTCAGGTGGAGGAAAAGTATGAGAATTTGTTACCAGCAGATCTACTGTAAAAGAAATGCTAAAGGAGATTCTTGAGAGAAGAGAAATGATAACGGGAGACTTGGGGCATCAAGAATGAAGGAAGAGCAACATAAATGGAATATAGATTGTTTTCCTTTTAAATTCTTTAAAATGTTTATTCCAGTTGCAAGGGAAAATTATGAAGCTGTCCAGTGGGGTTTTCAGTCTCGTAGGTGTAATATGTGTGACAACTGCAAAACAGGCGTCAAAGTAAAGGGATGTGGGTGACGGTCAAGTTTCTACATTTAAAAGGAAGTGGTGAGATAAAAGTTCTCAGTGAACTGTGAACATACGTATTTTGTAATCCCTGAAACAAAGATTAATACACATTAGTCCACAGGCCAAATCCAGCCCACTGCTTGGTTTTGTAAATCAAATTTTATTGGAACATAGTTACACTTCATTTACATTTCCTCTGACTACTTGTGCAGTATGGCATCAGAACTGACTTGCAACAGACATGTGTGGCCTGCAAAACCCAACATATTTACCGTCTGGCCCTTTACAGAAAAAGCTTGCCGATCCTGTCCTAGAGCAACCACTTAAAAATTGGAAAAAAATCACTGGACAAAGTGGAATACTAAGTAGTATTCAAATAAACCAAAAGAAGGCTGGAACATGGACGTAGTCGAATTATAAGTAGAGGGCCAAGCAAACAATAAGATGATAGAAATAAATCCAAACATAATAATTATATTAAACATAAACAACCTAAGTGCAACAATTAAAAGATAGAAATTATCAAAATGAATTAAAAAAGCCAATACAACTATATGCTGTCTTCAGAAAATCCATTTTCAAGTGTAATATAGGTGGGTTAAAAGTAAAAGGATGGGAAAAGATAGACCATGCAAATGCCAATCAGAAGAAAGCTGAAGTGGCTATAGGAATATCGGACAGATTAACTTCAGAGCAAGGAAGACTACCAGGGATAAAGAAGACTGTTGAACAATGATAAAAACTTCAGTTTTCCAAGAAGATGTCATTCTAAATATCTCTGCATCTAACTACAGAGCTTCAAATTACATGAAGCAAAAACTGACAGATATCAAGGTAAAAACACACAAAGCCGCATTATAGTTGAAAATGTCAAAACTGCCCTCCTAGTAATCAAAGATCAAGTAAACAAAATCAGAGAATATGTAGAAGGATGTAGAACTGAGTGATGCCATCAGCCAATAGGATCTCACTGAAATTTACAGAACACTCCTCAACATGGCAGAATACACATTTTTTTTCAAGTGCACATGGAACATTTACCAAGATAGACTATACTCTGGGTCATAAACCAAACCTCAACAAATTTAAAAGAGTTATGATCATACAGGGTATATTTTCTGACCATAATGGAATTAAACCTAGAAATTAATAACAAAGATAACAGGGAAATTGCCAAACACTTGGAAACCAAACAACACGTTGGTAAATCCATAGGTCAAAGAGGTGGTCCCAAGAGAAATTAGAAAATGTTGTGACCTTAACAAAAAGGAAAATACAAAATATCAAAATATATGAGATGCAGCTAAAGCAGTGATCAGAGAAAAAATCGTCAAGCACATGCAGTAATAAAGAAGATCTGAAGTCAACAATCTATGCTTCTACCTTGAGAAGGTACATAAAGAAGAACAAAAATAAACAGCAAGCAAGCAGGAGGAAAACAAGAGCAGGAAGTAATGAAAACAGAAAAAAAATCAATGAAACCAAAAGTTGTTTGAAATGATCAATAAATTTGATAAACCTCTAGCTATACTGACCAAAAAGAAAAAAGAGAGCAAGCAAGAAAGAAAAGGCACAAATAACCCAGTATCAGGACTAAAAGGAGATACCACTGCACACGCCACAGACATTAGAAGGTTGTAAGAAAATACTACAAGCAATTCTACACACAAATTAAACAACTTAGATGAAATGGACCAACTCTGAAAGCTACAAGCTACCAAAACTCAACCAAGAAGAAAGAGACACATATAAATGTACAACTATAAAACTGAGAAGATAACAGAAGAAAATCTTAGTTACCAGGAGTTAGGCGAAGTGTTGTTACATATGACGCCAAAAAGATGATTCATAGAAGGAAAAAGTGATAAGTTAGACTTCATCAAAGTTCAGAACTTTTCCTTTGAAAAAGACATCAAGAGGAGAAAGGCCACAGTGTGAGAAAATCATTGCAGACCCCTGTCTACAAGACTTCTAAGCAGAATGTATAAAGAAATCTTAAAACTCAACAATAAGGAAATAAACAACCCAATTTTGAAAAATGGCTGAAAGACGTTTCATCAAAGAGGCTATAATGATGACAAACACATGAAAGGATGTTCAACATCACTAATCATTAGGGGAACACCAGTTAAAACCACAGAGATGTGTCTGTTAGAATGAATAAAGGAATACCCACACACCTAACAGAACGGGTGAAATAAAATAAAAACTGACAATACCAAGTGCTGGCAAGGATACAGAGCAGCTGGAACTCTCTCTCTGTCACGTTCCTGGTAGGAATGCCAAATGGTACAGCCACACTGGGAAACAGTTTGGCATTTTCTCACAAAGCTAAATACGCATTTACCATATGACCTAGCAATCTCATGCCATTTCACTCCTAAAGAAATTAAAACATGTTCTCACACGTGTACCTGAATGTATATAGCAGTTCTGTCCATAGTTGCCCAAAACTGGAAACTGGAATGTTCTTTGACAGACGAATTGATAAAGTATAAACACACAGTAGAATATTACTCAGCAATAGAAAGGAGTGAACTATTAATACACACAACAACAGGAGTACATCTAGAAGGCAGTGTGCTGAGTGTAGGAGCCAGTCTCAAAGGGTTACATACCACAGGCTGTCAATACCTTTACTGCCAGTTTGGTTCCAGAGCAAGTGAACATGAATTTTTGCTTTCCCGGTGCAAATGAAAGTTATACTTCTACTATACAGTAGTCTATTCTGTGTGCACTAGCATTATGTCTAAAACAAAGTACATATCGTAATTTTAACATGCTTCATTGCTAAAAAATGATTACCATCATCTGAGCCTTCAGCAAGTCATAATCTTTTTGCAACAGTCACATCAGAGGTCACTGATCACAGATCACCATCACAAATACAATAATCAAGAGAAAGTTTGAAATATTGCCAGAATTACCAAAATGTGACACAGAGACATGAAGTGAGCAAATGCAGTAGTAAAAATGGCACCAATGGACTTGGTTGATGCAGGGTTTCCGCTAAGTGTTCCGTTCGTCAAAAAAAAAACAACAAAAAAACAGTGTCTGTGAAGTGCAATAAAATGAGGTCTGCCTGTGTGGGATTTAATTACATGACATCCTAGAAACAGCACAACTATAGCAAGGGAGAACAAATCAGTGGCTGCTGAGGGTTAGGACTGGAGGTGGGGGGTGGCTTCAGAGGAGCAGGAAGAGGAGGTTTGGGGGTGATGGAACTGTTTTGATCGTGACTGTGGTGGTGTTTACACAAATCTGTATGCACATTAAAACTCATAGAACAAACACAGCAACTTCATCATATGTTAAAAATACAATATTGAAAAAACATGCCAGACTCCTGGCATCCATCATTTTAAACACCATGCCATTACTTGCAACTTTTAATATAAATGTAAAAAAATTTTCAATCATCAAGGAGCTTTCCATCTAAAGGACCCGCATGGTGAATCTTGCCGCACAGCATGTTAGTATCACTTGTGTCAATCTGGATTTTGAGTCCCAGCTGCTGGGTAGTTGTATGATGGTCTGCAACTCACTCGGTACTTGAGCAGTAAAATAGGAGGGGGGATTTGAATGGTATTTGTAACCATTGCTAAGCTGCATCGGAATCCTCTCCAACCTTGGGATTCTGCTTTAGTGGGTCTGGGGTGGTGATTCTGATCTGCTGTCACTTTTGGGAACGGCCAGAGAGGGGTGATCTCTAAGGTCTCTTTCAGCTCGAAGATTTTTATTTGTTATCATATTCTGGGTTTGCTTGAATTAAGGTCTCTGTGTAATTGGGAATCAGCTTCTGTCCTTCCAAACCACATTCCCTGTGAACTGGGGATCCCTCCTGCCCCGAATCTAGGACAGCTGTCTAAGTTCACCAGTGATTTTCTAAGAATCCAGCTTTTTTCCTTTCATCAAGCTGTTTCCCACCTCAGTGTCACCTTGACCTTTCCTGGTGTATTTCTGCTCCCTCTTTTATCTTTTTACTTTTTTTTTGACATTTCAGAAGGCTAATTTAATTTTTTTATTATTCATTTATTTATTTTTTAAATTGAAGTAGAGCTGATTGACAAGGTTGTTGTTAGTTTCTGGTATACAGCTTAGTCCTTTTAGAGACTCAGTCCCACCTCTGGGGCCCTTTCTCATGCCAGCTTCTCTCCCATCCTCCGGCTCAGGGGTCTGAATGTCCTAGCCTCAGACCTTCAGACACTTGCTTGGCCTCTGGGCTGGAGAACACTGGCATCTGGGAGATAATTGTCAGAACCTACCAGCTGTCCAGGTGACAGGTGACAGAACTGAAGAGGATGGGATGGATGCTGGGAGGAACCAGGGCAGCCCCTGCTTGTATCTTAAAGATGAATCTTCAGGGAATAAGAATCATAAAGGGCAGAAAAAGCACAAGGAACCCTGAACCAAAACCCACTCATCTCAGGGACAGTCCAGAGCTGGGAAGGGGCTGAGCCCGGAAGCAGAAGAACTGCCTGCTCCTTGTCCCCCAGAGGTACCGTTGAAGGCCAGCCACGGAGGCTAGGAAGGCTCAGAGCCGCCAGCCCTCTCTGCACGGGGGCGCTTCAGGCCCACCTTCTGTCACAGCTCTGCCAGCCTCTGCACCCCAGGCCCCTCAGGTACCCTTCCCTCAAGCCACGCCAGCCCGGCGTGCCCCGCAGGCTCTCCCCGGGATGGAGCTGGTTGGGAGGCTCCTTTGAGGGAGCAGCTACGCACAGTTTCTGCTCATGTCCCTTCTTGGTTATTTCTTACCTCCCAGTGCCTCCTGGGCCAAACTCCCTGTCTTCATCTCTCCCTTCTAGTGCCACCTCACCTGGCTCCCACCTCTCCTAGTGGAAGACCACACAGATGTCTAAGAGGGAGAGAGGTACAGCCTACCTTTTACTCACCCTGGGACCCCCGGAGTGGCCTGAGAGAAGGAATCCTTGACCCTTGCTGCCCCCTCAGCCCCTGGAATGACCCCTTCCCAGGATTGAGCGCATCGAGGCAGGACAGGTATGGGGCACTGGATGGACTTAGAAGACAGGGAGCTGGGAGACCAGACTGCTGGGTACTTCTCATGGGTCAGCCTGTTCTCTAGGTGACCTGTTTATTCGATGTAGGCATTGGGCAGAGGAAGCGGGCACTGGGTAACGGGTGTTACTAGGACTTGAGGCCCTTTGTAATCCAGACTGCAAGATGGGCTGGGTCAGAGTGGCCCCAGACATTTCTGTTTCTATTTTCCCGTCTGTGAAGCTGAGGCATAAAAAGGTTTGAAAGAGAATAGTTGGTAGCTGGGAGAATGGAGGGCTGGAAGCTGATACAAGTCCAGTAAGATGATTTCCAGCTTGTCTGGAAGCATCTTAGGAGTACTGAGAGTAGAAGTGGGCATGAAGACCACCGGAGAGCACTGAAGGCACAGGACAGGGACAGGGTACTGGGGCAAAGTCAGGCACCTTTATCCCAGGCACTGTGTCAAATGCTTCCTCTGTACTAACTCACCTGATCTCCTAACTCTGAGGTATGAATCCATGTCCCCACTGCCACCAGCGCCTACGAAAAGGCCCATTTTACAAAGCAGGAGACTGACATTGAGAAATTTAGTCTTCCCCAGGGTCAGAGGTGAGCAGGGGGGCCCGGTGGGGCTTGCTTATACCAGTTTGTAGTCATAATTTCACTCCTCTAATTCCTAGTCTCCTAACAAGTTATCAGCCTCTTCCAACCTATCATTTTTGGGGCTGGGGGAAATAATGTAAGTGAGTCTGACCATGTCCTCTGGACATCTGTCAGAGGGCTGAGGGGGTGGCTGTTGTGCACAAGGCTGGGCTGACTGGAGAGCTGGAAATGAAATGTCAGCCTCCTCCCTGAGTCCTTTCCTGGCTCTGCTCCCTGGCCCTCACCCCACATGGATGACAGGTCAGGAAAGTGCCAGGGGGCTGGCTCTTGTGCATCTCACTCACCTTGGCTAACACCTAACTTCCCACCACACATCCTTGCCAAAAACAACCATCATGGGCCCTACAGATAAGTGCTGGGTTGCAGAGTGGTCCTCCCCAAGAGCAGGAAGCAAGGGTGGAAACTAACTGGTTCATGTGTCTGAAAGCCAGGACCCAAATGGGAAAGCTTGTGAAACCCTAGATGACTCACCTAGACTGAAATCACGGCAACCCTTGCCCTGCTCCAGCCCCCACTTGGAACTCTACCCCTGAGTGTGGGCACTGGGCCTGGAATCCAGGTTGAGAGGTTGGGCATGAATTGTGGCCTAAGATTTTGTAGTTGGAAGGGACCTCCACAGCTGAGGGCCAGGGAAGTAAATGGCCTGCCCAAGAACACGTGGCTGGCTTGGTGGCAGAGCTGAGCGGAGGAGCCTTGGGGCTCCTTCTACAACCCCAGTGAGCTCTCACCTGCCGCCTCCTCCAGAGACTGCTCCTCCCCCTCCCAGAGGAACTGTGTGTCATCTTGACAGCACAGATCACGCTGGAATTGGAGGGCTATGGACGCTTTGAACATCATCGTCCACAATTCAGCAACCCAACTGGAGATGACCTATCTCTGCCTCAACTTCTGGGATTCTTGGATTTTTTTAGCTGCTGGGTTGATTCCCTTGACCCTTGTGGTGCACCTTCAACAGAGTTTCATGAGATTTAATACCCACCCTGGCCTAGAAGCCCGTGCCTGGTTGTCAAGCTCACCCTTGTCTCCCTGGTTGTTCAGTGACTGGACAAACCCTCTTGAATCTATTGTTCATCGGTGACACCAGGAAAACCCCCAACCCTGAGAGAACCTGGAAGGAGTGGTTTATTTTTGCCTTTGATTTGCCAACTGACAAGGACTGAAGATGTTTATAAAGTAGAAACTGCCCTCAGACTCTCACAGACACCTGCCGTCACCAGTGAGTTGCCAGGAGGATCAGAGCACCGTTTGCCGAGCCAGGTCGGGCAGGAGTGACTATCAAGAAATTTGAGTGCCTCATGCCCTTTCCAGGGCTGCTCGGGTTCCAGGCTGGTTTTCTTCTCTGGTCTCCTTCTCTTGGCTCAAATTCTCAACAGCTGGGGGTGGAGGGTTTGAAGAATGCTGCTGACCCGAGCCTCTCCCAACGCCGAAGGACTGCACGTGGTTATCTGGGCTCCTTCCTACTCTGTACCCCAAGTTTTCCCACCCACAGTCCAGGGAAGAAACTATGCTCAAGGGACAAGGGGCGGAGACTCCTCAGGCACCGGTGTGGGATGCCCTGCATCCCCCTGACAAATGAAGGTACAGCCAAAGCCAGGGACAGAGCCAGCAGGACAGCCGTTCTCGCCCCCCAGCCCAGCCCAGCCCCGCCCGCTGCTGCTCCTCACCCGCCAGAGCTCTGACAGCCCCACTGTCCTTACCACTGAGGTGCTGGGCTTGAACTGGAGTTACGAAGGGCACACATGGAGACAGAGGAAAGGTAAGAAAGTGACTAGGAGGAGACAGGAGGGTTGAAACTGAACAGGGAAAAGATCAGAAGTAAAGCCAGAATCCTACTCAGTCTTTTTTCCATTCTCCTTTATTCCATAAACACCTTGTTACAAGTTGCACAAATCAAAAAATAAAGGGAGAGGAGGGTGCAGGGAAGACTTGTGATATGTAGCGGGTGGGAAGGGAGAAAAGGTTGAGAACCAGTCCTCTCCCTCCACACACAGCCCTAGGCCAGGGCTACAGTCCCTGCAGCGGGGAATCGGAGGAGGAGGTGGGTGGACCCAGGGTAGCTGAGGGACGGGGGAGGCCCCTAACCCAGGGCTCGCCCCTAAAGCCCCTTCAATGCATGGCAGGGGTAAAACAGGGAAGGAGAGGAGGTGCAGAGACGGAGATGGAGCAGCAAAGTGAAAAATCAAGTGAGAGGATACAGGAGAAGTGAAGTCATCATGGTAAGGAGATTAAAGAAGGAAAAACTAGGTAAAGGGGCAGTGAAAGGCTCCCTCTGAGACCCCCAGGGAGAGGTGGGGGCCAGCTTGCCTGTTAATTTAATATTAAATTGGGAGTGGGAGTTGAAGAGGAAAAGTAATTCCAGGGATGATTTCTCAGCCTCTCAGCCTGTACCTGGAGGGGGAAAAGTGATGAGCATAAGTCAAAAAGGAGGCAAAATATAAAACCAGGAGTTGGGTCTAATTCCCCTTGCCGTGAGAGCACTCTTCTCTCTTTCCTTACCAATTAAAACTTCTCCGGGGAGGGTATAGCTCAGTGGTAGAGTGCCTGCTTAGCATGCAGGAGGTCCTGGGTTCAATCCCCAGTACCTCTATTAAAATAAATAAATAAACCTAATTATCTCCCCCCACTGCCCAAAAAGCCTTCTGTTATCAAAGGCAGCATTTGCTAGGCACTTGGACTGCTGCCTCAGCAAAGGGATGTGCAGAGTGCACTCCCCACCCCCACAAACACTTTCGTCCCCACCCTCGGTACTTACAAGAGAGGCTGAGGGCTCAGGGCCCTCACCAGTCGTAGCGGCGGGACTGTCGGGAGGGGGAGTCCTCAGGTCCCTGTATCGCCAGGCGGGGAGGTCCCTCAGCCCTTCGTCCTCCACCCGCTGAAGCCTCATGCCTTCGAAATTCCAGAGGGCGCTGCTGCCGGAACCGAGAAGTCTCCCGCCGCCACTCATCGTCAAATGCTGCGGCCTCACCTGCAGAGGACAGAGAGCAGACCGGTCATCTGAACCGCCTGGCTGCCGGAGGCGGACACAAGAGCGAGCCGCAAGCTCTAAGCCCCAAAACCAGGGCGAGGGCTGAAAGTCTGTGTGTGGAGGGTGTTGGATGCAGTGACAGCGATTTATTTGGCAGTTTTGGATTCAACATGGTTCTGGAAGCCACTAGCAGGAACTCAGAACGGGGATAATTAGTTAGTTACGGAGCACAATCCCATGCATGCAGTAAGTAATAAATGTTTGCTGATTTGGAAAAAATAAACACAGAGGAGAAAGAAAAAGACCGGTCCAGATGGGGACGGGCAGATTACTATCGATATTTGACTTAGGTAACAAAGTCCGCCCTCCCTCGCTGAGGATGCCGCCAGCACCTGACTCAGCCTGAAGCTGACAGAAAGGCTCCAAGTAAGGTCAGGACACAGGGTGCACCCACCACCTTGCCCAAGAAATATACCTGCTGGTAGAGAAAGCTGCTGTCTCTCAGCTCAAGGGACTGGGACTAAGGGCTACGGGCAAGGACGCGGGAAGGGTGATGAGTGGGAAGGAAGGCTCACTCTCATCCAGGTTGATATAGTCCTGCCGCTCCTCCTGGTCTCCTGTGCGGTGGTTTCGGGAGCGCTGGAGGATGTGAGCCCGGTCTCGGATGTGATGCCCAATGGACATCTGCTCTAGTCCACTGTCTGAGTCCCGCACGGTCCTCCGGGTCTCCCGGATCTGGGGTGAGGCAGAACACACTCAGCGGCTCCTTCCAGAGCCTGGCTATGCCAGCCCCGACACACCGCCCACGACCCAATCCTGAAAAAAGCAGCCAGGTTTTCTGTGGGTGCCACTCAGTCCTGCCTCCTCTGGGACAGGAGGAGCCTCCAACTCACCCCGCCCGGGGCCGAGCGCATCTCTGATGTCTCTTGGTAGACCTTGGGGGCACCGTCACCCGTATTGGAGTAGGAGATGACAGTGGAAGAGGAAAAGGTCTGGCAATTGCCTCCAGCCGTCATGTGCTCCTGAGGAGGGGAGGGAACAGCAGGCTGAACGGGGAGGAGTTCCCCTCCAGACAAGAGACCCCCCCCAACCCATCCCCCGCTTCAACTGCCGGTTCCTCCCTGTATCTGTCTCACAAAATGTGAGAACTGAGAAACCACCAGGACTCCTCATTCCCCGCAAACTCCCCTGAGTCCAGCAATAAACCAGAAGGACCTGAAGAGATGGAGCCTTAATTGCACATTCACTCAGCACCCCCGTGCCCTCCGGCCCCAGTCGCTTTATCCAGCTGACACACTCTTCCCACTCCCGCCTCCTGGGATTCAAGGTGTAGCCGGCCATCACCGGGAACCAGGCTGGGTAAGGGGATGGGGCCAGAGTCTCACCATGTTCCCAATCATGTCGTTCATCATCCCAAACATGTCCATGAAGCCACCCGACTGGAGCAGAGAGATGGAACACAGAGTCAGGGTTATGTTCACAGGTTACTGCGTTCTGGTTCCCACCGGCTACGGGGCCTCACATCCCCTCTCCCCTCCCTTCACACCAACAGCTGCTCTTCCTCATTCCTCCTGAACGAGACCCAAGCACAACATGCCTCTCTTCGCATCTTTTCCTGTGTGCCTGTGTGCCGCCGCCCTCCTCCCCAGGTCTCCAGGGCTGCTCTCATCCCATTTTCCTTCTCCTGGCTGCCCTATTTCCTCCCACCTTTAGGAAGCAAGCCAAAGTTACATACTCTGCCAGGCAATTACACTTTCCTAATGGGCAAGGCTCCTAGAAGTACAGGAGCCAGTGTGAATTAGCATCTCGAACTTACAGGACTCCTAGCACACGGCAGGCCCAGACCTCTGTGAAGACTGTATGAGGAGTCTAGGGTTATCCATAAGGCTACCCCAGAGAGACACATTTGGAAATAATACCTAAGGGTACAGAGCATGCCTGAGATAGAAGGTCACAAGGAGATGAAAACTCACCATTCCCAGCATCCCAAAGGGGGAGACAGCCCCGGTCTACAGAAACACGTAAGGAACAGAAATTAGAAACCACATCCTGTCTCATTACTATCCCACACCAAGCCTGTGGCCTCTGCTGCTTTTCCATCCTCCTCTCAAAAGGGGATCACAAAGCTTGTTTTCCAGACCCCTTCTCTCACTCCTGGAAGGCATTCCACTTGCTAAAGTGGCCATTGTGCAAGAAAAATCAAGCACTTTACTAACCGCCCTCCAACCTTTCTTTGGGTCTCAGGTGTATTGCAGCACCATTACCTGCATCCTGCGGCTGGCAGGCCTGGTCCCTGGCATGTTGCCATCTGTGATGCTGAGGAAGGGGCTGTATCCAAAGCCACCCGACAACATCTGGTTCATGTGCTGACGGTGAATGGCAAAGGGGTCCCTGTGCAGACAGTGTGCAGAGTGGATGGCAGGAGGGCCAGCAGTCAACACCTCCCGCCGCCCCCCACCTCCCCGGAAAGAAAACAGCCATAGGGAGCCAGGGGCACAGATGTCCCCTCCAAGTCTGAGCAGCCACCCAGTTGCCATCAGTGTCAGCAAAGGGAGCCAAAATATCTTTCTGAACTACTCAGAGACCAGAAGTGCAGCGGATGCCTGCTCTGGAGCACGAGGGGGAGGGGGTTACTCACATCAGGAACATGGGGTCCTCAGGCTCCACGTCCCTCATGAAGCGAAACATCCTGACTTTAGCTCCAGGGGGCTCCACACTGTGAAGATGAGGAGGCTCAGTGTTTGGAGGCGGCCAGGCTTTTTGCACACCCGCACGGAGTCGGGACTTTCAGAGCAAGGCCCCTTCCAAATACTGTAACTGACCCCCTAAACTCCAATGAGACCCTTCTCCAGGTGTTCAGGAGAAGAGCTCGTCAAACCTCTCTCTGAAGGAGGATCATGGAAAAAATTTTCCAAGCCTGTTTTCTGCCTCCCCCACTCAGAGCCATCCTCTTCCCAAATCCCTGGCCAGAAGCATACTCCCCCCTCCCCCGACACCACCGTTCCGGATGCGAATCCCAAGTACCGGCCCTCCGCCCATTAATGACCCCAACCACTCCGCCCATCCTTACACCCGGCCGCAGCCAGGCCTCCCCCGGGCAGGCCTCATCGTCCCCACCGCGCCCGTCGGCGGCTCCCCGGCCCCTGCCTCCCCGCCGGGCAAGCAGGAGAGGCAGGCCTGTCCCGTTCCCCTCCCCGCATCCCAGGCTCCAGGACCCTGCAGCCCCGCGGGCCGCTCCCGCCCTGGACCGACTGCCCGCTCCGCTCGAGCCTCACCGGTCCCCGATCCGGGCTCAGCAGCCCATCCGGCCGGTCTCGCCTCTCGGTGCGCGGCAGAATCGGGGCTTGCGGCCCGGGACGCGGGATTGGTCCGGGCGTGAGCTCCTCGGCCTTCCGCGCCGCCTCCTAGCACAGCTGCCACCTCCGTGCCCCTCCTCGGCCCACGGAGCCCGAACCCTGGCCAGGCCCGGACGGAAGTGACGTCACGATGGGACAGCCCACCCCGGGGCCGGGCCCTCCGAGCTCCGCCCACCGGCGGGCGTTGGG